AATCTAAAAAAAATATTCTGATATGAACTTTATGTGTGGTCCAGAAGTCTTGACGATGTGTGACATATATAAAATATGTTATTCTTTCAATTTCTAATTATTGTGTCAAGAGAAATATAAAAGGAACACACACGAAACATAATATGAAATGTGTTGAGGGCCAGCTCTGATGACGCCACCCCCCTCACTTATGTACCTGTTCTTTCCTTTCAAACCATGGATGTAGATATTGTATCTTGACTTTGTATTAAAAGCAGGATGATTGGATATACCGCACAATGAGCTGCTTGGTTACTGTTGGGTTTTTGTGTGTGTGTGTGTGTGTGTGTGTTATTCACTCTTTGTCCACTAGATAGAACCAAAGTAACCCTAAGGTGGAATCATAGACTGTATAGAAAATACTCTAGTCACTGCACCAGCTTTTTCAAAATGCTCCGCACGCACAGTTACGCCTTGATTACATCTAATGTTTTCAACCATTTGGCAATTTCATTCTTCTATTGCCTTATTTTCTGCAACCACTTGAAATGTTATGTTTCTAGGCAGGTGTGGAGCTTTATAAATGTTCCATCTCTGCTGTATCTTTAGCTGTAATACAAGATTAAATGCTATACAATGACAATATAACACCATATTTGTTAAATTTAAGGTTGAAATTTTCAATTGAACATTAAACAGTGATATTTATCTCAGAGGTAAAGTATACATTCATTTTAGTTTTCAGGCACTTTCACATTAAGTCAGAAAAATTGGACTTTCAGGAATATCTTAAATGAATTGTAAGATGATGATGATGATGAGGATTTAGGTTGACTCTATTGACAGTCAGGTCGTGGTTATGATCAACATAACAAAAACCCAACATTAAAGCACTATTTAAAATCATATATACTGGACATGGAGCTAGACTGTCACATCTCAAAGGTTCTTTCAAATGCGTCATCCCATCCCCGAGATATAAAGGCTCCAGCGTGTGGATCCTTCCCGGCCCAACCTTTCCCAAGATTCATTGCACTAAAGGGAGCAACCGTTTTTCTAAAGGTAATGGTGCCAGGAAGGGACAAGTTGTTCAGTGCATGGACGAGCTAATGACAAAATCATTGAAATCTAGCCTTGCTGTTTATGTGACCTAAGAAGGAGGCGGTCTTCATGGGCCGATGCAGGATGCAGCCTCTGCATTCAAACACAGCTATAAAAATGTAGTGTACCTGTGGTGTTTCTGGTTTAGCAGCATCGAACCATCTTTCTTTACAAAGAGGGGAGGGACTGCACCAACATGAACCTGTGTACGGAAGAGCATGAATGACAATGACGTCACAACACAGCGGGTGGTTGACTTTGTGACATTTTCTGATAAGGATGCTTTGACTCCAATATAACTTCGAAAAGTTGAAGGTTGTTGGCTTCTATATTAATCTTTAAAATCTTGTATGTATGACCTTTAAGGTCACCAGTGTTTCCTTGATTAGCATCCTGTGGTATTTCTTAGGTGTTGCCCAGCTTCCTTATTGATATATTACTTTTTTTTTTTTTTGGTTAAATCATTTGAACACTGCCCAACTCAAACAAACTTTAACCAGGATGAAAGTGCTGATAAAATATGTTCTTCCTTTTTAATGGCAACCAAGCAGTAACCCAGTGACATTCTTAACAAAAGTATGTTCATGATTAGGAGATTAGGAGGAATGTGTTTTCAGTATAACAGGAAACACACCCATGCATGAGATGCATCTGTAATTAATTAATTGTGCCAACCACTTTCAGTGCCACATGTAACATTGTGTTACAGTGATAGTTCACCCAAAAGTGAAAATTCCCTCATTGTCTACTCAAGTGTTTGATTCCACAAAACAAATTTGGATTTTCAGGGACAAACAGCTAAATCCAATACAAGTGAAGAAGATGGTGACAGATTCTTCAAATGTAAAAAAACACTGCTCCTGTGGTTTCATCCAAGTGTCTGTAAGCCCCCGACATTCAAATTCAACTTGAATTTTGGTGTCATTTACACCATGTTTTCATTGGCATTTTATATTTTCTCTGTTGTTTTTTTAAGTTTGAAGAATCSGTCACCATTTACTTCAATTGTATTGTATATGGCTGCAACGCTGTTTACCCCTGAAACGACATAAGTGTGGGACTGAAACACCTCCATCGGCATAGTGGTGAGTAGATAATGAGTGATTTATCCCTTTAAGTTCACATACAGCAACATCTTCCTGCTTGTTGCTATGAAGAGGAGCTCTCGAAGCGAGAGCACAGTGTGTGCTTCACTGACAGTGACAGTGTCTGGCTAATCCCTTCACCTACTACTTCCTCAAAATCCCTGTGAAAGCCAGGCATGGGTTATTGTGGAGGTGAAGGGGCTGGGAGAGCACCTTCGCCTGCACCACAGAGGATCAGTCAGCGCAGGTGAGAGCTGTTAGCTGATTGATCCTCATGCTTGAAAAGGCAGCAGTGGAGCTGTCTCAGGGGGACACACTGGGGAGACTGGGCGAAGCTAGATGTCCAGCAGAAAGTGCTGGACCCTCTAAGTTAAGTGTTTTTGTGAGTTTCTGTTTAAGTTTAAATAAAGATGTTGCTGAGCCCCAAATGGTGTGACTGGTTCGTCTCTGTCATGGTAGGAACCCCGTGGCATGGTCTACTGCCACAGTTATCTATCTGATGTTTTTAAGTATAAGAGGGAAAAGGAAAAAAAGGCAACATGAGTACTGTATTGTTCTGTCACTCACAAGTTGATTCTGAATGCTGTAACCTATAATATTTCCATCCTGAGTTTTGTTGAGACAAGCCTGGTAACTTTACACCCTCAACAGTAGTTATGCAGCTCAGTCGTCACATAGGTCACCCTGCTTCAAACAATAATGTTTATCTGAGAGAGCATTTTATTTATGTGAGACTCAATTGTACTTAATGTACTAAAATAACAACAAATAGAATAATCATTAGAGAAGTGGCAATAGCTCTGCAGGAGCAGGTTGTAATTTTATTTTTTCTCCTGAATAATTGTATGTGCAAGGTTAGAAATTACATTTATCACGAACACTTCCTTACAAGCTTGTAGTTTTTGTGAAGCTGAGAATGAAAACATTTCATCACAACAAGGAAAGACTTAATCTCTGCTGCTCTGTTTTTATGTTCAAACACAAACACACATTAAGAGACTGTGAATAATAAACCAAAAGGAAAATGAGAAAAGCCAAATATTATAAAACCTCCTTTTTGAGTCCTAAACATTTATATATATTATATCCACATTCTTACATTATACAAGAGTAGAAAACACATTTCAGCTTTTCATTGTAAAATGTAAATTCTGTCGTTACATCCGCCACAGAATTTGCATTTAAACTACTGTTACTGTGGAAACCAGCAACATTAAAATGTATCAGCCCCAGGTCGCTCAATCCTTTAATTTGAAATCATAACAAAAGGTCAAAGGTCAGCGCAGCACTGGAGCACATGTGAGAGGGGGAGCAAAGAGAGCCAACCTCTGGAATGACAATGTGTGATCTAACAATCACCTGTGGTTTGACAGAGCGCACATCTGGACACATCATACCTGACGTACTTCTACAATCGAGTAAAATGAGTAAAAATATCTTTATCATTGATGACTTTGGGCTAAGCTTTCTATTCACATATGCATATACACAGTGATTGTGAGAAAGAAGTGTACTTCATATGTCACATAATTACTGCTGCAACATCAAAATGAGGAGATTTGTTTTCCTCTGCTGTCACAGTTTGTGACAACAATGACATTTTACATAATTCTTTTTTATTTGTATCTACATTGTATGTCAAGCACTTTGAGCTGCATTTCTTGTCTAAAAGGTGCAATACAAATAACTTTTATTATTGTGTAATGGAACATAGTTACATAAGACAATATAAATCATATGTAGCCAGTACAACTTCTGTTGTGTTGTTTATACATTTTCACGCCATAAAAAAAATCTTTCACAGTCTACAAGAAAATTCATAAATCTGTAACAAAAATATTCAAGATATAATACAAAGACAAAGTTTGAATGCATCAAATCTTTACAACCCTTTCCACAGAGAGTTATGTCGAGTCATTTCACGGAAAGTGCGAACTGCAGCATTCCTGTTGCTGTATCTCTGTTTAGGAATTTGAGAGATGTCACTACTGATTGAGGCTTCTGATATATTTATTTAAAATCTATATATATATATGTATGTATATATATTTAAAATCAGAAAGGCTTAACATTTTATTTTTAAATCAAGTGATATCATATACATAAACCAACAGCTCCATTTTTAAAATTTCTCTAAGAAATGTAACCACTGAATTTTTAATCAGTGCATGCATTTTTCTTTTGCACTCAATATTTTCTTGCTTTTCAATCTTTTGTCATCTTTTGAAACAATGATGAGGCACCTGTGCAAACCAGTTGTGTGGAGTTGTGTGTCTGTGCTGTTGGCCACCATCCATCCGTTGATGTCTATCAGTGCAGGCTGAGCAGGTTGCATGGCAGGAGAGTCATGTCTAGAGCACATGGTCGCTGCTTCTGAATGCTTGCATCACATTGTGTGTATGAGGGTGTGTACTCGTTTTTCAAGACTGGACCTATAGAGGCTAAATTACATTTCTGAGTCAGAGGTAAGTTGAAAATTGTTGTTAGGTTAAGGTGAGGGATAAGGTTCTGGTTAGGCTGTCCACAATGAATGGAAGTCAATGCAGTTTCCTAACAAGGACAGATGCACAAATCTGTGTGGGTGTGCACTTGCACTTATATCTTTGTGACGACCTTTTTGGGCACAGAGTTTGGTGTTGGGGTTAAAAATAAGCATTTAGTTTGAGAGTTAAGGTTACGGTAAGGGGCTAGGGAATGCATTATCCCAATTTACAAATGTGTGTGCAGAGGTGTGGTCTTCATACCTCCTGTACCTGACTGGTTGAGTTTCATTGTAACACTCCCACCTCTCACAGCTGATTGGCAACAAGCAGCCAATCTTACGAGTGGGCTGCAACCGCCTCTGTTTCTCACCTGCCACTTGTTATTTCAGAGCAGCTTCCAGGAAATGATGCCTAAGAATTACACACACACTTGTAAACCTGAGAGAACTGAACTGAGAAAGGAATCAGGATATGTGAGTGAGTGCTTGTGCATGTGAATGAGTTGGAATTTCATTTCATCATGAGTCTCAAAAACAGGAGATTCTCACTGGACAGCTCTGTGTGAGTATGAATATTTTAGTGTCACATCCTTTACAAAAACTAGACATCTGTTCTCATCTTTTAAAGCCGACCAATAATCCAAAGCCTCACTCTAAACACCAGGTGTTTGGTATATTCTTGTTACGTCTGCAGTGTTTGTGGCTGCTGGTTTTGTAAAGTGAAAGCAATCTCTAGAGATCCATGCTGTTGCACAGAGACATCAGACTAACCACAAGTCTAATGAGCTGCCAGTTTAGACCGGGCGAAGGGAGAAGGCCGACACAGCCTCTGGTGTTAAGAGAGGTTTTTATTCAAGGTCTTTGAAGCTACTGTAAATGTTCCTTTCATATAGAGAAACTCTGCCAACTGAAGTATTTGATTTACAAACCGATGTGTAGTCAGTTATTTAACTTGTGTACTCTTCACTCAACATCAGTGTTGATGCATGGTTGATGCTGCACATGCGAAAGATTTTATGTTGATGCTCTGTGTGAGAATTCTTTGTCTGTGAAGCATCTGGATTCACCGGCGTTCACCTGACACAAAGAATGAAAGTGAAGATAATGATTTTTGTTTTTATCCACTCTCTCTGTGAACTGATGTTCCCATCGGGGAGAACTCCATTTCATTCTCTGTCTTTTTGTATGATGTGCGATTGTGTTCATCCACTCTTTGGTGTTAGGAAAAGCAGCGGGAAGAAATCGAGACACAGCCTGAGTCTGGACGAGGCCCGACTGGAGATGCAGGACTTTAATAACAGCCTCACCTCCAGCATGTCCGTCAGGTAAACTACAACACTGCACACGGGGAGAAGGAGATGGTTTAAAAAATGTTTAACTAACACCTAAAGATAACTTCCTTATATCATTTGTGCATTTGACCTCCATGTGTAATCAGGGATAAGACCATAGCAGAGGAGAACGAGGAGTGCTCACATGAAAATCATGTAAGTGGTTTTTTTTTCTCATTATGCTCCTTCCTGCAATCCTACAATTTCTTTGCCAGTGACTATAATAAATATAATGAATCTAGCTGGTAATTCTTCAAAAGTCATGTCTGTCACTCAGTCTGTTTGTATGTTGAAAACATATCTTGCGAATCATTCATCTTATGGGCTTTGTACTTGACCTGTGTATTCTTAGTGGCCCGCGGAAGTGTAGTATTGGATTTGGTGCTACTTGGACATTTGATACGGTCATTATCAATACAAATTAAATAAAGAGGAGATCTGCACATCTGTACCAGTCACTGGGGGTGGGGCAGTGTGCTCTCAGTCTGTGGACTGAGTTGAACATTTTGTTCTTTTACCTTTATTTCACCATATCTCTGTCATGGCAACAACATTCCTAAAGTCACTTCTTATTGAGCAATTTCTTTACAAAGTTAAAGTTTGTTGATTCTGTTGCTGCAATTCTTTAAATCAACCTGAATTACAGAGCTTTGATCTTGAAAATGTTTGAAGATTGAGTCAGTTGCATATTTAACAGACCTCTGAAGTAGCCGACATGCGATTCATGAAAAAATAACAGCATTTTAGTAGAACAGTTAAATTTATATATAAACCACACGTGAACAGTCATAAAGCAATTTCAGTTTCACTTTATAAGAAATTGACTTCATAGCAGATAAACCAGTTAGGATGAACACCAAGATTTCTAACCTCCCTCTGCACTATAGCCTGTTAGAAAAAGCTCTGCACACAACTTCCAGCAGGTCAACAATAAAAAGGGACAGTAACTGTTTGAGGAGGAATAATTCTGATGTGTCTCCACAGCATCAGCACAGGCCAAAAGAACAACTCATCACTCAACAGGCAGGTTTAGAAACGGACACTGCACTCGTTTTCATTATAACAATAATAACAGTGACAATGTGAAGGTGGTTGCTGGTATAGACGAACATGCAGACAGTTGTCACCTTAATCTGCAGCTCCACTGATCATTTATGATGTCATTACCTGCTCATCCCACTGCTGTAATCTTTGCTCCACTGCCACCACACTCTTTTTTTTTTTTATTCATTATTACTGATTTTCCCCACAGAGCTCCCAGAAGCACAATAAAATCTTCCGCAAGCTGTTCCCAGATATTCCCGAGGGGGAGAACCCGACACACGGTAAGTTGAGCTGAGGTCCAGAGTCTGTTGCTCATTTGTTTATATTGATTTAGGAAATGACATCACATCGTGTCCTTTCCCCCCCAAATGTCTTTACTAGCTGCCTCATACAGTAGCTACTTTGGTCGAATAGTCTGACAATTTGTGTGTGTGTGTTGCAGTGTTCCCTTGTGCCTTGCAGAAGGAGGTGTTGTATCACGGAAAACTCTTTGTTTCTGAGAACCATGTGTGTTTTTACTCATCTGTGCTGCTCAAAGACACCAAGGTAAAGTACACTTTACCTGCATTAAAACTGCATTAAAGTGAAGTAAATTCACTGCATCGTAAGGTTTATCTTGGATGTGTATTTTTTCTCCTCAACACATTGAAGGTGTTGATTCCTACATCCAGTGTCAGGGAGGTGAAGAAACAAAACTCAGCGTTGTCGATGTTGTCGCTCCAAACTGCTGATGGAGAGAAGGTCAGACTACAGGATCCTTTTCTCTATTTTTCTTCCCCTTTCAATGCAGAGCACTGTGCACAGGCAATATAGTGCACAGACCTTACACACAAATGATTTTGAGCTGTCTACACTAAAAATATATACTGTTTTCACTGCTTAATGTAAAATAAATAAATGATGTATAAGATTCATAATATAATAATACAATTAATTTATACAGACACTTTAAATAGGTTAAAACAGAGAGTAAAGCAAATTACTACAAAAAGTTAAAATACACATCATAAGCACACATTGAAATATAAAATACACATTATAATCAGTCACTAAAATATAAAATACACATAATCACACACTAAATATAAAATACACATTATAATCAGTCACTAAAATATAAAATACACATAATCACACACTAAATATAAAATACACATTATAATCAGTCACTAAAATATAAAATACACATAATCACACACTAAATATAAAATACACATTATAATCACACATTCAAATTTAAAATACACATTATAATAACACAGTTACAGCAGTTCTGAAGAGATGTGTTTTAAGATGTGTTTTGAAGGTGAACAGTTCAGTCCAGTCTCTGGTGTGTTTGGGGAGAGGGCTCCAGTGGGAGGTGGATGAAAAAGGTTCGATGAGCTCTATTATTGTGCAGTTAATATTTTGGTTGGCAATCCAATAAAAAGGGAATTTGCTGCTATTGAAGTTGAACGGCCACATCATCAGGCTGTGGGGGTGCTCAGTGACATTGAGAAACCTCTTGGGTTTTTTCTGCTTCTGTAGAACAGCGTGTCTCTGGAGAATAATAATCATGAATCAGACGTCCCTCTCTATGGGTGAGGAGTTCAATCACAGAGAAGATCCAAATAGATCGTTAGTGGGATTTTTAAAAGGTTTTTGAAGAATCAGACATCTGGGTGCTTTGTATTTCACTTTTTACATTTCTATTGCATTATTATTACTTGTGTTCTGTGTTGTTTTGTATGTGCTTTGCTTTTTTTTCTTCATATTTATGCAATGGCTCATTTAGAGACTAGCTTAAACTCTAAATACTCACATGGGTGTATGTGTCATTGTGATATGAATAGTTGTTTCTTAATCAATGATGTGTATATGCTAATCTATTATAACAATGAGTTCATTCAACTAGTAAGTGTCATTGTAACGTACCATTCATTAAAAGTGAAGTTGGGAACTGGATAGAATAGATTTGGAACATTTTCTTCAAATTCCTGCTGTAAAAATGGCAACAGTGTCAACACTGAGCATACATTCATCCAGTTTTTATTCCAGGTCTTTTATTCCAAGTATTTCTTGTCTTTTTCTCTCTCAGTACTTGTTTGTTTCTTTGAGGAACCGTGAGATGTGCTACAAACTCCTGCAAAGCGTCTGCTCATATGCACAGGTAATGTACCTGCTCCCCTAAATCTGCATGCACGGAAACGCAACCATTTCTCACACAAAGGTTGTTTATTTCAATCACGGTTCTGTTTGTCTGACGCAGGGAGAGAGCACAAACAGCAGCCCTCACCTCTCCTCCGCAGAAAATCAAGCCGATCATGATGTGGTAGGTTTTTGTTTAAAAAATGTTCAGGGGTCTTTTTAATGTGGAACAAATTTGATCACATAACACCTCGTCTGCAGGTGTCCAGTTATTCCAGTCTGGACGACAGCGTGGATCGAGATCTGAGCCGACAAAACAGCATCGATTATGACAACTTTCCTGAGATAGGCAGTGAAGGTGAGCGAGAGATAGAAGAGACAGAAACAAAATGTGGAGCTGAGTAATCTCTGCTGCTTCACATTTTCTTTGCCTTTTGTAAACGACCTCGGTTCATTTCACTTCTCTATTTGAAATAAAGATATTAAGAACTTTACTGAAATACGTCAACACACTGAATGTCGCACATGTTTTTCAGGTCCAACAAGCAGTTCCACTCTTCACAGCAGCTTCACGGATAAAAACGATAGAGGTGTGTGTAGACCCTGACACAAATTGTGTAATATCTACTTCACTATCAACGAGTCATGGAGGTAAGCGTCATTATAGAAAACCGTGTTGATGACTTTTTGTGTGGAGCAGCTGTATTGTGGATCTGGAGTGTCGTTGAGAAGGTGGTGCCATTCGTCATCCTCAGAGAAATGAGGAATCTCAGCTTTTTCTTCTACATCTACATTATGTTGTGAGTATTATGTCTCACAGGTGGCACTCCATCCCCTGTGGTTTTATGTAACTAAAGCATATTGATGCAAGTTCTGTAATTATCACTATTTCCCCTTTGTATTACCCTATAATGAAAGCAATAATGGACTTTATTTATATAGCACCTCATACTGTGCTTTACGAGTTAAGAATGAAAAATTGAAGGCAAACAATAGGAACTAATTAAAAGTGATTCCAAGACCACACAGCACTACAGCACAGGTATAAAAATAACAATGAGGAAGAGAATCAAAATAAAATAAAACATTATAAAGTGATTAAAAGTGTTGAAATGATCAGAACTAAAATAAAAGTAAAGAAATAAAAATAATGACTTCAAGAGATATTTAAAAGAGGATAGAAGCTTCTTGCCAGACGGAGATTTATCATTTATATTTGTGCTTTTGCTTAATTTTATTTTGGCTTCTGTACATTTTACTAACTAAACCTGTCACATCCCCGTACACTTTGAACAAACTGCCAGGAGAGGTTAGACTAGAATCGGTCTCCTGTTTTATCTCCCTTCTTGAGACACATCTCTATAAAAATGCTTTTAACAGATGATGTCTATGATCTTTATCATCTGTATCTTTTTTTTTCACCCTGTGATTTTCATCGTTTGATGTAAAGCACTTTGTTTCTTGTATTGAAAAGTGCTATACAAATAAAGTTATTATTATAAATCATCTTAAATTAGTCATTCAAAACTTTACGTACAAACTACAGCTTTCATGAATTAGTCATAATTAGTAATTATGTGGTTATATAGTAATAGTTTAGTATAGTAATTAAGCAGTTGAAGGGGATACTTTTCTACATAACAAGTTGTCGAGGTATTTTAACACTTTTGACATAGAGAATCTGATTACATCTACCACACTGCTGTGTCAAAAGATGAAACCCCAAGATCACAGCACATTAAATCAATGTTTTTATGAAGAATTATATTTTTAAATGTGTATGAAACACAGGTATGTTGACTTTCTGGATTGTCTGGAGGATCTCAAGGAAATATAATAATAATAATAATAATAATAATGTGGCTAAGGTCAGTGATTACATGATGTTACAGCATACAGATAGAATCTGCTGGCATCTTATTGTTGGGACTGAACAGTATGTACCCGTCTCCATGTTTCATTCATGCTGCCCAAAAGACATTTTCATTATATTGTGGTTGTGTTTGTAGAATTGTGATGCTGCTGTTGGCGTCTGGATACATGTTGCTGAAGATCTTTGCGCTGGAGGAGCAGCTGAACTCTTTGGGAGCCTTGACTGAGCTGTCTCTGCACCACAGAGAGTGAGCAGACACACAAACGTGAAGAAAAGAGAGAGAGAGAAAAGGAAGACGACTTGGGACCAGTCAGGTGGAAGAAAAGGGAGATGTCTTAAACCGGTTTTAAAACCATTTGTCTTGGACTTGGACAGAGTAGTTATGCAGGTTTACAACAGCAACATGGACAAAAGATAACTGATTACATTCCTGCAGTCACACCCACTAAAGACTGTTCCGCTTTTAAAACTGTACAGTACGTGATAATTCTTTGTAGATTCATCACAACCATACACAATTAAATTGGGGGATTTTTATTTCTATTCTGTGGTGTTCTGGATCTGAGCATTTCCTCCACCTCTTCTTTTTTTGCAGGTACCAGGAGACGTAGCCTGTGGCAGAGGATTGATTCTTCCAGGACATCGTGCAATGTACCACTGGGTTCAGATCCCACCCTGAGCCCTGTCTAGACACACTCCCAAGAGCATCTTAAAACTGAGACTCCATCCCTGTGACACGCACTATATCTAGTCTTACACTGTTATTGCACGTATCGCTGCCCTGACTGTAGATATTTTAACTCCTGTACTCGCACCATGTCATGAAGAGAAGATTTGTTAGACGTGCACTGATTCAGATGAAAAGAAGTGTGGCTCTCCTGCTCTGAAACATATGGACTCGACATGTTTGTTTCCTGGCTGTTGAAGAAGCTCAGCTTGCAGAGGCTACAATCTGACCGTCGTGTTCTCGGATCAATTCAACCTACACAAGAAAAAAACGAAGCACGTTTGTTGGTCAGTTGATTTTAAATGAATTACTTGTTTTAAAATTTCTCACTGTAAATTAACAGCTGTAGTCAAGGTGTTGAGAATGACTGTTAATGACAGCAATAAGCCAGCAGAGGGCAGTCACTACCATTTAACTTGATTGGGCCACAATGACTGGATGAAATTTGCACTTCCAAGAGTTTGAAGCTCAAGAAATATTATATACCTTGTAAAGGTTTTACTGCAGACCTTCAGGCCTATCATTCCTGTTAATAAATACTTGACATTTAGTTCATGTTCTGTATATGTGATAACAATATTGATTTTATGTCAGCTGTGATAATATATGAATTCAAATTCACGGGTATTGTTTAAAACTATTTATGAAATCCTTTTTCACTACTTTTCCAGACTTAGCCTGCATTGCTTCAATCTAATGGAAAGACTGTGTGATTGAATGTATTTTTAAAAACCCGGTGTCAGTGTGGTCATATCATGCGAATGTCATTCTGTACATAAAGTCTTCCTGACAATATGATCTTGTACAATCTTATATTTGTTTTTAAAATCAATACAGTCCCTTTAATATTTTTGTACATAAGTGATTTTTTTTAATTATTTTGTTGTCCATAAAAAGGTCAAGATTCAGTCCCATGAATTAATTTCATTACATCATATTCTTAGTTCAAAAAAGCAACATAAAATTACAAATCATAATACAAAGAATAGAATAGGTAAGTACAGTAACCATATAAACAACCCACTATTATGGTCTACCCCCCTATCACCCCCCACCCCGCTCAAACTCTAGCACAAAACTCATAACAATACATCAGTTAGTATCAGCAATTTAAAAAAAAGTCAAATAAATGTCCCGTGTTTTTGTTTTTTAAAGCGCTTCAATGTTCATATGCTATGAGTTCAGCTTTACCCTCACACAGAATACACAACAGAGATAACATCCCACCCTTTCATTTGCTCGGCAAAACACAATAAACATGCATACAGTTTTTCACTGCTTCACACCCCAACCCCCCATCAATTAACATTCAGGGCCAGAGGATACAATGTACGTCAACCATAGTGGTGCATCAGTAACATGGTCGGTTTTTCCACCCCGTTTCTTTGAACCAAACCCCATGAATGAAAAGTGGATCCAGTGGTTTCCCTGATAATACGACCTGTCCAGAATAAAAACAAAAAACAACTGAGACCTACTTCTATTTTTTCAGAGAAAAACGATAAGTCTCTCTAATTCTTCTGACAGCTCAGATCCCTGGTTCAAGATGGTAACAGATTTCCATTATTTACATTTCAGAGACACGAAGCACAGGATGAGAATGGTGAGGTTCCCTGTTCGAAATGATGACAGCAGGCGAGTGGCGTTTTGGTAACCTTACCCACCACTCACTAAGACCCACTTGTACTCCCAAAATGGAGTAATCAGATTAGTGCGAGTTCAGTACATGTTCCCTTTGACAAGACACAGCTACTGTCACTGAAAATGATGGGTCTCCTGTACAGCTACCTCGTGTAGATCTAAAACGTGGTGCTGCCCTGCGACTCTAAAATCAGTTGTTGTACTTTTCAGGCCAACACACGAGGCCTGTTAGGACTTATTCAAACGGGATGCTAGTATCCTTGACGCTGGCGTGTAGAAGACAGTCAATAATAATGAAGACACACAAACTTACATTTTATACCCTTATTACACTTTAGATGCTTTTTACAATAGTGCTGAACTTAAGACCTGCTTTTGCCATGCTTGATCTGATATATATAAATGTGTAAATATACTGTATATTACAGTACGTGTATGCGTGTAGTGTTTGAATGTGTGTTTGTGTGTCAATGTGCAAAGGTGTAGGTGTGTGTGTGTGTGTGTG